TAGATATAAAATTGTTGGTGCTTGGTGCTAGCAATCCAGGCAAGTGCTCTAACACTGCCGCCTCCCCTCTGCCCACCACGATCTTTCTTTCTTTCTAGGGTAGGGAAGTACTCGCTGAAGTGCAGCCAACACAAGAATCTTCTTTCTCTCCATCACTGCAGGAGCCCAGTGTTCAGTCAGTCAAGCCACTTGCCCACTCCCATCCAGTGGGACCAATTTACACTTCTATGATGGAGAAACCTCTTTCTCCTGATATCCTTGGCTACCAAAGTCTCAATTCCCTTAACCTCTAGGAACTGACAACACAGTGGGCAGTAACAGGGATGGCAGAGCATATGGGCTCCAATGGAGGGGGGGATGGGAGGGTGCCATTTGGGATGGGAGTATAAAGACAAATAAGATTGTTCGGGATGTTCTGTATGAAATACACACACACACACACATAAATCAATAAAAAATTAAAAACAACAAAAAATTCCAAGTATAACAGCCAGTGCCTGAAGTCAAACCTGAAAGATAAAGGCAGATCCACCCTCTGTTGGTGCTAGGCTTCCTTTTCTCAATAAATAATAATAATATTAATATTAATAAATCCAGAGCTGGAAAGATGACTCAGTTATTAAGACTACTGCAGCACTGAGTTCGAGTCCCAGCACCCACATGGCAGCTAACAACCATCTGTAGCTCCAGTTCCAAGAGATCTGATGCCCTCTTCTGACCTCTGCACAACATGGATGTGTTTGGGGTCTGTAAAATTCCCTAAATTGATCAGTAAAAAGGAGAGCTTTATTGGAGCCAACCAGTTAGGGATGCAGACAGTCTCGGGAGCTGTACTTCAACCCCAGCAGTAAAAACACAAGGCTTTTAAGCATAAAAACCACAAAAAACCACAAAGCGGGGGATTTCTATAGAAACCATACACAGACTAACCAGGAAAAGGTTTGAACAATCCAGGGCTGATTATCAGAGCCTTAACCTATACAGCCATTGGCCAGCTTACCTGGGGCAGAATGTTCTTTCTCTTCTGCCCCAGACCATTCCCATAGAAACCATGAACAGATGTACCAGGAAAGGGTTTGAACAATGGAGGGGGTTTCCAGAGCCAGGTGGAAGGCAGCTTTTTCTCAGAGGATAGGGAGGGAGTCTGAAGGGCACTCTCCTTCAGATGCACCTACTGACATGTGGGCTCATACACATAAATACTCATACATATAAAATTTAATAATAGTAATAACAACAACAACAAATCCTGGTTCTCCATCATTTTGCAAAAGCAAAGACTGTCAGACCATCCCTTTCTTTTCTAGTTCTAGTTGCCATTTCCCTCCTCCAGGTATGGCCATAGATGATGGTGTCCACAGCTGCTCCAGGAAGGGTTCTGTAGCAGTTCCAGTTAACTCTCTGGGAGCGGGAGACAGATGCAGACAGGAAGGTGCAGACACAGACCTGGAGGCTGTGAGCTTGGTAACATCCTGCCTCTCACCTTGAATCTGCGTACCCAGGCTGTGTGGGATGAATGGGGTGTTGGGGAGAGGGCTTTTTCTTTCATTGATTGAGTTTAAGCATGTCCAGAGGCTTCCCTCACCACCCAGTCTTCCACCTGGATGAAAACTTAATGTTCCTGATTCTCTTGTGTGATACCAGTCTCCAGGAGGAGGTTGCAAGCCATGAACCCCACACCCAGGATGTTACTCATCCACCCAGGGCATGTCACCAGCTCACCCAAAAAGCCATTTGCTGGTGTGATGCAGCTTGTTCTCCTGATGTCTGTCGTCCCCCCTCCCGGCCCTCCAGGGCTGTCCATGGAGGCAGAGGCCACCAGACTACTGTCTGGGCTAACAGACAGCTGGTGATGCTGTCTGTGTGGCCTCTCAGTTCTTTAACAAGGGTTCTGCAGTCCAAGCCCCATAGCTTCAACAGCTGGTCTTAACCAGCAGATTCCAAGTACTTACCGTTAAGAGAAGAGAGCACCCGGCCTCTGTGGCCTGAGAAGAGCTGCTCTGATTTCCTTGCTGGGCACTCCACAGTCGCACAGTCTTGTCAGTGGAGCCTTGAAAAGGCCACGTTTGTTCACACCCCAACTCCACAAAATATTTGCAATGAGCATGCTATATGGAACACATACCCTATATCCCGATCCTCCTTGTTTGTTTACCAGTAGTCTGGTTTTAATTAGGTGGCTGAGGTTGCATTCTTGGCCATCTGCCCAACTGACAGGGGCTACCCCAAATACTGATTCTTGGTTCCCAAACAGTGCCAGGTGTTTGTTTCTGTTTTTCCCACAAGTCTTTAAACTTTGGCAATATGGCACTTGGAAGATGGAGGCAGGAAGATCATGAAATCAAGGTCATTCTCACCTACATAATGAGTTTGAGGCCAGTGTGGCTCATGTGAGACCCTGTTTCAGAAAACCAAACTAAACTAAACCAAACCAAAACCTAAAACAAAATGAAAGAACACCTTAGCAACAGACTGGGAAATGATGTGCCGCTTTGGATAGCTTTATGAAGATACAAAAATCACCCCTCAGCTTATGAATGCCAGGGCTCATTGCAGATGTGAGAACAGTTCCTTTTAGGATACCTAACTATATTCTTTGCTATTTCCTAACTTGTTATTCAAAGTCTTCTTCATTATCACAGTCTCAAAAGAAGACCCTTACAAGGACATCAGAAGAATCCAGATGAAGAGCCTTCTGAATGAGAGAGTTGTGAAGTTTCCAGAAAATGACCACACCAATGTTAAAGATGGCTGACTAGAACTTTATGGATACGGAGAGTTAGAATACTGTAGGGGCAGAGCCAGATTATCTGGGGTTATCGTTAGTCTCCTTAATTCATTGTCCACCTTGAGTCTGTCTTATCCTTTAAGCTATCAGGTTGGACTGTATTAACTTAGCAGACCTCTAGCTTCCACCAAGCTCCAAATTAAGAATATCATCATATAACACCTAAAAATCTGTAGCAGAGTTTTCCCTACTTTGCCACAATCTGCCTACCTGATAGTCTTACCAAAATCCTTGAAAATGCCTTGATTTATGAGTTTTTGTTCTGTGACAATAATCCTTCATGTCACTGCTTCCATGTTGGAACATGTTTATTCAAGCAACCTGGATCCTAGTTCCTGGGCTATCGAGGGTCACTCAATTTGGCTCAGAATAAGTGATCACTTAATCCCTTCGAGGCAATGGCTGTACTTTACATCCACAGGATAACAGTTGTAGACACTCTCAGGGATGTGGCTCAGTAGTACATATCCAGAAATTGGGCAAGTATTGGCAGAATACTGGGATCATAGGTAACAATGGCCTCATCTGAAATGGAATACATGTTTAGAGATATCTTGCTTCAAGCATTAATAGAATTGCAACTTTTGCCATAGGTATTTGAGCCTAAGTGGAAAGCCTGTGACTTCAGCCTATTTTTTTAAAAAAATATTTATTTTTATTTTATGTATATGAGTGTGTTGCCTGCATGTATTAAGTGCACCTTGTGTCATGCAATGCCTGTGGAGGTCAGAGAGGGTGTTAGATCCCCTGGAATTGGAGTTGCAAACAGTTGTTAGCCACCATGTGGGTACTGGGAATCGAACCCAGGTCCTCTGAAAGAGCAGTCAGTGCTCTTAACCGCTGAGCCATCTCTCCAGCTCCAAGCCTATTTTTTTTTTTTTTTAAAGACACTGTGTCTCACTGAACCCAAGACTCACAGACTGAGCCAAACTATAGGGCTGGCCACCCCCAGTGATCCTGTCTCTGCCTCCTCAGCACTAAGAATACAGGCATACACCACTGGGCCTGGCTTTTGACATACATACTGGGGATATGAACTCAGGTCTTCACGCTTGAGTGGCAACCCGAGTCTTTGTGCTATAGTCACAAGACTTACATTTCTTGCTACATGTGGACAAGTACTTCTCAGGTCAAGTGTGACACTACTAAGTTATTTGAGCTTGCCAAATTGACAAAAGGCCATACCAACTTTCCAGCTGGTTTAAGTTTTCTGACAGTAGTAGCTGGTTACTCTAGGAACTGGATCCCTTTTCAGATCTAGATTTCAGGATTTACTTATTTGCATGCTTTTTGACCTTTTAAAATTATTTTTATCTTCATATGTTGGACCCCTCCGCCAATAAACTTACTAAAATTATGGTTGCCCAATAGCTGGGATATGATTTAGGAATGTACTGCACTTGCCTGACTGAAGCCCCATGTGCTCAGGAGATCCTGCTATCTAAAATTTAGCTCTAGCCTCTTAACTACAGTTTTGTGGGACATAATCACCTAGGAATGAGAAGGTCTAGCAATATGTTAAGAACTACCAGTTCTTAACTCTCAAGAACTATCATTTGATTAACTATAATTCCTAGAGAAAAACTGTGATCAAAGTGGGGAAGAGAGAGGATGGCCAGCTAGGGCTACAGGGAAATCCTGTTTGAACAAGACCAAAAAAAAAAAGTTTTGTTTTTCCAAAGTGCCTTAAAAAGTAACAGAATCAAAAGGTGCCCCGTGCGAAATAAATCTGTATCCCGCTGAGAATTCCAAAAAAAAAAAAAAAAAAAAAGTAACAGAATCACAGAATCATGCCTCGAGGTTTAGTATTAGGGAAAATTACGGAAGCACAAGACAGCTATTCTTGTACAAGTCCTTAAAATATATTAAAAAAAAACTTGCCCAACAGATGTGGTGAGATGAAAGTATTTTTCCTTAAATTCTTTTATTGTCATACCGTTGACAATAAGTGAACTTTAGAAGCAAACGAAAATGGAGAAACGAGAACTATAATTTTACCTTCCGATGCATTTGTAAACTGAGAATCCCTAAAACGAATGATCGTAAAGGTAACGAGTTTTGGTAAATCTCGCCTTCTGCTCTTCGTAGACGGAGACAGAACTAAACGAGCTGCAGAGCCTGGGAGAATCTTTTCTTGTCCGGGGCCGCCCCAGGACTCCGCCTCCAGACACTAGTCCCAGCCCGGTGCGCCGACACCGGAAGTGACGCAAAGCCTGCGCCAGCAGCACCCGCTGCTACGGAAGCGGGGTTCTGTTGCTGCAGAGACCGCGGCTGTCGGCGGATGGTGGCGGCGAGGGGACCATGACCGGGAAGAAGTCTTCCCGGGAGAAGCGGCGCAAGCGGAGCGGTCAGGAGGCGGCCGCGCTCGCCACCCCGGACCTCGTGCCGGTGCTGGGCGGCAGCGCCGGCGCCGGTGCCTGCGGGAACGGCTGCGGGAGCGCGGGCGGCTGCGGGAACCCGGGCTGCTGTGGGAGCGCCGGCGGCGGGGTGAGTGCGGCGGGCGGCGCGGAGCGGGGCGAGCGCCGAAAGCGGAGGAACACCGACTCGTCCTCCAGCGTCTGCGGCTCCTTGCAGCAGGTGCGTGCCATGTCTCGCGCCGCCTCTCCTTTGCAGTGGGTCGGAAGAGCCGGGCTGCGGAGCCCAGCGTTAGTGCCAGGTCCCCCGGGCACCGGTGCTGGAGCTGCGCTGCGCCGAGCCCCCCTGAACCTCGCCCCTTGTTTTGATTTCCAAGTTTCTTGCCCCCCCCCCCCATATCTCCTCAAACTTTCGGCTCCTTTCACTCCAGATCTTCCCCGTCGCCCTTAGAGCGTCTGTGGGTCTGGAACTAGTTTTCAATGCCGGTGTGAGAGCGCACCTTCCCCTTTTAGTGAATTCTGATTATTTCCACATGGTACATGAAAAAAAATCGAGACCCGAAGAGGTTCAGGAACTTTACCTACAGTCACAAGAGTGTAGTGGCGCCGACATTTGAACCCAACATCTGAGTATAAAAGCTGTCTTCTTTATGCCTCATCAACCTGCCGAGATCCCGCCATTAAAAACACTAGTTGATAGTTTACTGTAAACTAAATGAATGTGTACTTAAAATCCATCCAACACGGAGATAAAGGCAGAAATGTGGAAGTCCTTCGTCACCGCTTATATGCAGCCCCTTTTCATTATTTCCTTTTACATTTAAGTTCCTACACGTAAGCCCTGGATGCGTACCCCCTTTCTGAATTCCTTTTACATTTAAGTTCCTACACGTAAGCCCTGGATGCGTACCCCCTTTCTGAATTCCTTTTACATTTAAGTTCCTACACGTAAGCTCTGGATGCATACCCCCTTTCTGAATTCCTTTTACATTTAAGTTCCTACACGTAAGCCCTGGATGCGTACCCCCTTTCTGAATTAGATACTACCCCTGCGTTGGATGGGTTTCCTTTCATACATGGTCTACTATTATTTTTGGGGACTTCCTGGTATTCCCTATCTTTCTTAGTGAATACTTAGATTTTCAGTTTAACGAACTACCAAAATGAACACCCTACATAGATCTGGTGTAAGGATTACTTAGGGATAGGGTCTCAAGTGATTGCATAGTCACAGTATAATTGTTTTAAAAAGTGATGAACGTTCTGCTTCCTGGAGGCAGATGAAGTGTGACTTGCTGCGTTTTGCTCTCCACCAGGGCTTCTGCAGCTTGATGGACAATACCCTAGACCTGTGAGCCCAAAGAAACCCTTGGTTTAAAACAAAACATACGTGTTGGAAGCACTGCCAAACTGCTTTTCAAATAAAACTGCTGATTTATAGTTCGAACAATATGTAAACATACTCATTTTTACAAATTTTCACCAGCATTAGCTGTCCTTCTCCACCCCATCCCTCAGCATCTCACTGTGTGGCCCTGGCTGTCCTGGAACTTGGCATTCACCCTCCTGCCTCTGCCTAGAGAATGCTGGGATTAAAGGTGTGTGCCATCACACCCAGCCTCTTTTTCCGTATTTTAAGGAAGACTCACTCCTTCTTCCTTGTGCCTTCTCTTACCCCTTTCCCTTCTCTCTTCTCTGTTGAGTCCAGGGCCTTGACCATGCTAGGCATGTGCTCTAGCACTAGCCTGCAGCCCCAGCACCAGGGGGAACACTTAATGTATATTTGTGGTAGATTTTTAAAAGATATCTTTAAAAGGTATCAGGTCAAGGAGCTTTTTTTCTGCTCTGGGTTCAGCATGGGTTGTGGTTTTACCACAATGCCTCTTGGTATGCTGCTGAGGTGAGGATGTGATTTTCCTCATTTATCAGTTAATGTAATTTTGTTGATTAATTATTGATAAGTTAGTTGATACTGAACTGATTTACAGTCTTGGAATAAACTTACTTGATGTGTTGGATTTATTTGTTGTACAGAATATTTTTGCTTTGGGTTAAATGTTTTTAAATTAGATCAACTTGGAGTTTTGTTTTTTGTTATGAGTTGAATTTGAAAGCTTTGTGTGTATG